ATTGCAATAAACAAATAATTAGTAAGCTTTAATTTTTTTTTTTGTTTTTTAAAAAAAAAAAAAAAAAAAAAAAAAGAAAAAGATTGAAAAAGGAAGAAAAAAAGAAAAAAAAATAGAAAGAAAGGTCGGCGGCTCGGAGGTGTTTTCCAGCGTGTTTCACACGGAACTAACGGCGTCTGGCTGCTTTAACCACGAAGCTGAAAGGCCGCGCGCAAGCTTTCGAAAGCAGAGGGCAAGAAACGCCCGTTAATTTGTTTCGAAACGCCGCCACGCCGTTCGCTGCTTCTCTTCCCCGTTTTGATCCCGTTCGGTCTCGTTTGTTGTTGCTCTTGCAACTTGAACTCGTCGTTTCTAGGCGCTCGCCGAGTCTGGAGAATTGCACGATCTGTAACGTGGAGAACGCAATTGGGAGAATTCTCTGGTGAAATTCGTAAATTTAGAGATTGAGATGTTGAGCTGAAAGGTGAAGTTTGGGGTGAAGGTTGCTGATTTTCTGTGTCAAAACACGTATACAACGATAAATGCACTGTTAAATGATTATTTGAAATTGTGAGTTTGAGTTATCATCATCAAGCTCTTTGGCAAAAATCAATTTCTCTTTTAAACTGATTTAATGCCCCGTTCGATCACGTTTCATTCATTTTGTATCGATGAAAATTCAGTGATTTGGAAGAAATCGTGAAAACTATAAATATGACACACACAGATGCATATATAAAAATGTCCACGTGTGTGTGACTGTCTTGAACGTTAATAAATTAAAACGTGTACACATATGTGTCAGTATTTCTGAGGAATTTAATAATTTTTAACCAGTTCCTCGTCATCAATCATTTGAAATTAACGTTGTTTGCAAAATCAAGCCGAGACTGTTAAAATATCTATATCCAAGTGGAAAAGTTATTCATGGTGGTGTGTCGTAACCATTTTTCAAATGTTTTCTCGGGTGGTCTCGGGAAGTGAGGTCGTGCGTCGCGTTACCTCAGGGCGAATTTGCATCGCGGGGAGAATGGCACGCGTGGCGGGAAACACCGTTTCTTACAGGGACACCGCGATCGGTGTCCCGTATACGGGAATCGCAGCTGCGCGATTTATCCGCGGGCACGTTCGCACGGACACGCAAACGGGCATTTCTTCGACGCGCGTGCGCGTTCCACTAAGGGACACCTTGCGAAAGGGAAATCTGCACGGGTCGATCGGTTTCGTAGAACGCCAGTTCCACGTGTTTCTCTTATAGCAATCACCTATGGATAGTTAAATTTAAATTCAAAAAGTCCCGAATAGACGCGAGAATATTTTTTATAGTGTAATAAATAATATTTTTATAATATAATATAATATATAATATTTTTTTATAATATAATATATAATATTTTTTATAATATAATATATAATATTTTTTATAATATAATATAATATAATATATAATATTTATTATAATATAATATAATATAATATATAATATTTTTTATAATATAATATAATATAATATATAATATTTTTTTATAATATAATATAATAAAATAATAATTATACATATTTTGTCGTTCGTTGCGGACGAGGCTTAACGTTTCTACCGCGTGACGCAAAGTAGACGGACGGACGCCATTTTGGTATCTTCTATTGCTCCGTTGCACTTTTTACCGACGGAGTTTTGTAGGTTAGCAACGTTACAGACTCAGTTCGTTCGCTGAAACGACGTAACTCAAAATTTCTAGCTTGCTGAGTTACTCGCGCGGAAAAAGACGAGTTGTTGCTTCGTTGCACTTTTTATCGACAGAGTTTTGTAGATTTGCACCATTTTGGTATTTTATGAGACTCCAACTCGTTCGCTGCAACGACGTAACTCAAAATTCCCAGCTTGCAGAGGTATTCGCGCGGAGAGAGACGAGTTGTTGCTTCGTTGCACTTCTTACCGACGGAGTTTTGTAGGTTAGGTTCTAGGTTTGCGAAATATTATTACAAGAATTTGGTATTTTTCTTACTTGAAAATACGTGAGTTTGCGTGAAAATTATTATAGATGAGAAGAAGAAAAAAATTATTATAGATAAGATGAGAAGAATATCGTAAATGATATTGTAAAATTATTTCCTCCGAAATCGTTCTCCAATCGGTTTTTGAGTTATCATTGTAGCAAATGAGCAACGTGTTTTTATGCAATTATTTTATAATTAATACTAGAATATTAACTCATATTGATACGTTATAATAGTGATTTCTGTTTACACAGAAACATGACGTTAATATTAATTGTCATCATTCAAATTGTAATGAATATTTTAACATTGTTAAAATTCGATTGTTTTAGTGTTAAAGCAAATTTGTTTCCGCATATTGTTCCACGCGTATTCCCTGTATTTTTACATCTCTAAATTTCACACGAATGCATAAATAAAGAGTTTCACTGGTCAAGGAAAGAAATCATTAGCAACAATTTTGTGCTTCAAGTAGCAAAGTACAAAAAGATAAAGCGATTTATCATTTCGACTGCTACAAAGAAACTTTCTTACATACAATTCTTATATCTCGTGACCTCTGTTAATAATATTTTATGAAAGAAAAGGAAGTTTTATACTTAGGAGAGTGCGAAAAATTTGAGTCCTTTCTCGAAACAAATTTACTGAAACTGGAGAAAAGGAAATTGAAGAAATCATCGGTGCTCGTTGCCGGACGAAACAGAAGAGCAAAAACCTTTTAACAGTATTAATGGTCGCGTAAACAAGAGGGCTTACGTAAGTCGATAATCACGCAGAATGTGTATCGGTAACCACGGTGGAATTTTATTCCCCCGGCAGGATCGATAATTGGCTATAATTTAACGCTAACGACTTTATTGATTCGTTAATGAGTCGAACTGAGATCGGGAACGATCGCAAAAAGATCAGCCTACCACGTTGAGTGAACCATTTGAGTATCGATGATTTACGGTCTCGTTTCTGAATTTTAATAGTCGACGATTCAGGCGACGATCGTCGAGTCCTGTTTCGATGGATTAATCCTGTTTGTCGATGGATCAATGACGCATTAAAGATTCATAAACGTGTTGTGTTATCACTTACGCGTTCTTCCGCGAAGGTATGAAAAAAAAAAAAAAAATCACATTAGAATAACAGGTATGGCTGTTGCAAATTGAAAACGTTAA